AAAAAAAACTACTGTTTATGAACTATCAAACTACATCCGAGTGTTTTATTCTAATAAACAATGTCTTTTAGTATTAAAAAACAAAAAAGAGGTTAAAATTCAAAGTACTTGTGTAAATTTAAACAATTAAAACACTCAAATGATCAATGGTTTTTAAGTACATGATTTAATTGTATAATTAAAAATTATCTGAGTGTTTTAATTACTATCTTCTGGACTTTTTTATGTCCAGCATCTACCTGAAATTGGATTACGTTTTTAAACTTGTTTGACAAATATCAGAGGAACAAGAATACACAGAACAACAATATTAGTTTACTTCATTACACTTAGTACTATTTAATGAACTACAGTTTAAAAAGTTTTCCAATAGCCATGAGTCATGGGAAACACATTAATAAGACTAAAGATGCACATCCTTTAGTTTGATGCTGTTTTTTAAATTCCCTTTACCTTTGCAATATGAGACAAAGCTGACAGCTGAAAAGAGTGGAGTCCATGATCCAGTCTTTCAGACAACCAAGCACACAACATAGTCATTTGGGAAGCATACCATTGCTTAAAAAAAAAAGTAAAATAACATACATACACTAGATCTTAAACATTGTGGTATATGTATCACTAATGAAATTTATTTGCTCTAGTAAAAGATAAAATACCTTTAAATAACTTATGAAATTAATTGAGAATTTGAAAACATATTACTTTAGCCTCTAACCATTAATATTAAAACATAGTTATAGGAATACAAATGAGAAAGTATGACTGCAATGCATAAAATTGGTAACTGTTTTCCTATGTCTATTGAAAATATCAAAATTAATATATAGGAAGTAACCATGACCTAACGGACTTGTCAAGACAAGAATGATATTTATTACAAGGAAAACAAAATTCTTTAATATTACTTACACAGTCATAAAAAGCGTTATCTTTAGGTAGGAACAAGGAAAACAAAATTCTTTAATATTACTTACACAGTCATAAAAAGCGTTATCTTTAGGTAAGAACAAGGAAAACAAAATTCTTTAATATTACTTACACAGTCATAAAAAGCGTTATCTTTAGGTAAGAACAAGAGCCAATTGTCTTCATACATGTCTATTAGATATCTATAAATATTAGTAATTCACAAGTAATTTTATTCATTTAAAATGTCAACAAATTAATACTTCTTTCATGGTCTTTATGAAATAAAATGTAAGTATTAATAATAAACCGAGTTATCTAAAAAAAAGTCAAATATCTATAATGTTTAACACGGAACTCCATCCCTTACTTAAAATTGGTCTCTATCATAACATCAACGATTTGAGTTTCAAATATTACGTTTCTACAAAACATAAATATTGTTGATTTTCCCAGAATTATGTGACATAACAAGACTAAATGTAATTTTTACCTCAAACACATTCAACACCCATAGCTCATCAACAACTTTCTGCCTCAGCTGCTCCATGCTGTTTCTAGCAAAGTTAATATATGCCTGTCCCACTTCACGCCCTGAACTGGACATCCCTTGCTTATACTGAAGAACAAAATTAAATGCAAGAATTTGTGATAATCTTTAATACTTATTTCTGTATTAACCTTGTTTATGACAAACAAAAATTCTTAAGATTTTTACACACACAGCATTTGAAATATCTATGCACCCATATAAGTAATTTTTATTACAATGGAACAATCAGTTTTTAATGACTGTCATATTTATGAATATTAGCAGTCTACTGTTTCATATCTTGAGGTCTAAAGCCAAACAAACCAGAAAAATAAATTTGAAATCCATATAAAATTTTTATGGTTATCTGAAATACAAGTTACACTGAAAAAACCTGAATTAATGTTTCTATATTTTTGTTACTGGAATCTTATAACTTTCATGGTTTAATATCGATGAAGCACACAGCAGCACTTTTTCACCCATAGTAAAAAAATTATATGACTGACTGCACTCTGAGTTATATTCCATGAATAAATTATTTACAAAAATACATAAAAAGTGGTGTAAATCATATTATACACCTGGTAAATAATAGGAATAACACCATGTTTGTTTGTTTATGAATTTTGCACAATGCTACTCGAGGACTATCTATGCTACCTGTCCCTAATTTTGAAGTGATAGATTAGAGGAAAGACAACATTACCCACCACCAACTCTTGGGTTGCTCTTTATCAATGAATAGTGGGATTGACCATTACATTATAATGCCCCCACAGCTGAAAGGGGCATATCAATGATGATATTTGAACCCATGAGCCACAGCTTGCAAGTCGAGTGCCCTAACCATCAGGCCAAGCACAATATGTACAAGTGAAAGAAGCAAGGACTAGAAATAGACTCCTATTTGTTTCAAGATGTTTTTCAATTATAATAGGTTTTTTCAACCACATGGAAGACTAATAACCACAAAAAAGTTATTCAATTTTTTTATTACTTGATACATACAATTATTAATTTTATGATGAAAATAATCTGAGCTTCTTCTGTGCATCTGTTAAGGTATAAAAAAACTAAGGTTGGTGGGTAACAACCATCTAACAGTTCTTGTAACACTGAAGATTATATTTTTAAAATATGTAAAAACCTTATCATTGAAATTTTAAATACATTTCACATAGTGACTAGTACATTGTACCACATAATAATTTAAAACAAAAAACTATACCTAATTGTGTTTAATTAGAATTATTTTTCTTTATGTGAAAGTACATAATTTTACCAAATGTAATAAACAACAACAAATTTTGCTATAAATCAAAATTAAATTTTAGAACATTCTATAAATCTATATAACATAATTGTTTTATGATATTCTACAAAAATCTTTATTTCTGATTCCATAACTGAAGTTTAAAAACTAGCGCTAGGTTACAATCACCAATTTTGTCATTATAACATTACACCCCTGATATTTTGAAGTATTTAAGATACTAAACTATAAGCACTCACACTAAAAAAAATGTGTATGATTACACATATTCAAAACCAGTCTTATAGCATATAAAAATAATATTGTTACGTCTCCGTTTCGTTAATTGATCTTTCCGTAACTTCGTTCCAACGAAATTTTAACG